GGCATATATATATATAATTATTCTAAGAAAAACCAACACCTGTCACTCCCGTCAATAGAAGGTCACCTCTGCTCTTGATCCCTTATGAAGCCGACCAGATTTTCATCGCTTTATCTAACAACTTTTCTTTGAGTGGGAGCACAATCTGCGAAGTTGTCCTCTTACCCTTTTCATAGGGGGAAGTCAGCGGCCCCAATAGTAGTCACCCGATAAAAGCCTACAAATGGGCACATTAAGATAAGACAACTTGACACCTGTCAACCTGACACTGGCAGGAAGGCTCGGTGGTCAAGTTCCCAAAAAGGAGGATAATTAATGCTGCCTTTAATACCGACCCACTAGGGTTACATGATGAGGCAACAACATCCAAAACGATCGGTCGTACACCAAATAAAAAAAATATATATTAAATAATGATAAAATAATAATATGTACACAAGTGCATTCTATTGGTCAGTTACGGTGGGTTGATTAGCTACTTGCTCCACCTTAGCATTGCAATCCAGAGCCTCTAAAGTTGAGAAGGTAAGGTCTCCAAAGATGGTTATCCACCTACTAGCGACAAGATCCGTGAAGGAGTGCAGAGCAAATCATATGGGGAATAAGCCCCCCAAGGGTGGCCCTGACAGGTGACGATAAGATCCACACTTAGCAAAAGAAAACAAACTCAGCTGAGGCAAAGGCCCTAACAACCGAATGAGGTGGGGGTGCATGACAACTTAGGCCTGATGCAAATTAATCAGTTAGCATAACTGATCGCTATGTGAAATGGTTGGGAGTATGGTTTGGCCCCCAATCAACGACTAAAATTAAACAAATCCTCAAAAAATTAAAAGACGACCGACAAAAGCATGACATCCAAAGTTTGAGGTTTAGCTTTGAAAGTGACCAAGACACATGCCAATGATAAGATCCGTGGTAGGTCCGAAAGGTCGCCTAAGATACAAGTCTCTCCGGAGGTAACAACCCCACCAAACTGGATTCATGAAACATCTCGGCTGGTCGTATCATACAACATATCAACTCATAAGATGAGCACACGATCAATTGAATCACAACCAATCTGAATAAACCGAGAACTAGTAATTCTTTCTCATGTTTCCAAAAAGAGTTTACAAATATCTTTCTTTTGATTCTTAGAAAAACGAGAGAAAAGTCTTCATATACCAGGACCCTAGCTGCCGGAAGGCGAAAAGAGAAGAAAGACCGAAGGCACGGGAAAGAAACCAGAACGCGTAAATTAAATAGAAATGGCCTCTTATCATATTTATAGAGAAGGCGCGTAAAACCAGATGCGTAAATTACAAAAAAAACCAGAACGCATAAAAAGAATGGCCACTGCACTGTATCTACGGTCGAACCTCCGACCGCTCCCTCTGAAGAACCGACGAACACTGTCAAGGGTTTGGTCCTGCCCACCTGCTGCTCCATGGATCCAGGAGAAGGCAACCTCCGCTCTATTCACTCTTATTGAGAGCCAATAGCGGGTAAGTGTTGGGCGGCTGGTGCCCCTCCGAAGGGATTGATGGCAGAAGTCCTGCAAACTTGGCCTGCAGGTTGGCCACCGCAGCATGGGCAGACTCCACAACATCCTTCAAGGGCCCACTAGAACATCTGACCCGACCAATTTATTTGTATTGAGATAACGTCAAAAAATTATTAAAAGTTGACAACGGCCAAAAAAAGCTTTATGTACGTATAAATTTATCTATCAAAGAAAGAGCCTTCAAAAGCTTTTCTCTCTCTCAAGACGAGGTACATTTGCCTCCTGGTAGGGGCGGCTGAGCAAGACTTGCTGGCCCTTAGCAATCGACTTCACGTGGGGTCTAGACAACGTTTCCTAATAAAGCTTTTCCGATGATCGTTCCTCAACACCATAAGAAGAGCCGACGATCAAGTTCGGGCCTTGAACGTTTTTCTTTCTTCACACTCTTCCTCTTCTTTATAGGGGTTGGGGCTCGGAAGCCTGCCTTGGCTATAATTTTGGGATCCATGTTGACCCATATTGTACTATCAGCCATGATGTACCCCGACTATCTGGAAAAAAACTAACAGCTAAGGATGCAACACCAAGTTTATGACTTTATTTATCGAGCACAATAAGCACGGAACCCAAAGAGAAGTAAATTGTCCAATCAATTCTTGATTTTGATGTCGTTGATTGTTTAATAATTTCTCCGTCTTTATCGTATTTATCACTATCAAGGAGCATAAAAACTCGAGAACTAACATGTACACACAAATATTGTTAGCACAAATCTTAAAGCAATTTAATTGCTAAAGAAGATGACACAATTTTAAAAACATTAAATTTATGAAACATGATCTGAAGACTCTGAACCGGTCATCTGAAAGACCAACAAACTGATTAAGTCCAACCTCGACGAATCCAATATGCAGGCCTATCTACGATCTCAACCACTGAAGCTCCCTAAAAGTCGGTCGAAGACAACCGACTGACCGACCGCTTATATCTTAGCAAAAACGACTTCTATTAGGCCCGTCGTTTCGGTTGACCAAACTAAAACTTGTCGTCCGACTGATTACTGTCATATCTGAATTCAAATTATAACATAAATTTAGTATTAAATCAACACATTGATTGCATTAAAGATGATTTTCATAATCGCTCTCTCCTTTCGATTATAGGGAGCTATTTTCATAACAACTCTTTTTTTTATTTAATTGTACAAGAATGACTCTTATAAATAGAAGGCTTGATGATAAATAAAAGGCTCTGGGTCTGGGGAATTTTTTCTGGGCCTCTCGATTGAGAATTTCCTTACACCTCTCATCTCTCTCTCCACTCCTGCCCTAACTCTCATGGTGTGTATTTCCGAAGGATAATTCTAGATTCAACATTCAGAAAGGTAAAGGGATCCCGAGTCTGAAGACTTTTTCTTGGCCTCTCGACTGAAAATTTCCTAACATCTCTCTTCTCTATCTCCACTACTCCTCCGAATCTAACTCTCAAGACATATAATTCTAAAAAATAACTCTGGATTCAACATCCTGAAAGGTAAAGTGATCCCAGTCTGAGGACTTTTTCCCGTCCTCTCAATTGAGAATTTCTTAACACTTCTCCTCTCTTTCCACGCTTCCTTTTCTCAACCCTAACTCTTGAATTGTGTATTTCTAAAGAACAATTCTAGATTATATTTAACAAAATAAAATAAACAAAAATCTTTAAAAACTATACTCAAACAATGAGGTCTGTCCAAGTGCCATTTACAATATGCAATAATTAATCAGTACCTTCTTAAAAACAGTGAACAAGTCTCCCTTTGTCCTTTAGACATCACCGGCCCTTATCCTCCATCATGCAATATGTCAGTTTCCTACCCCCATCGCTGATCCTTCACCGCAACCATAGCCAAATGTACAGGGGTATTTTAGACAAACAACGTGAAAATTAGATGAGGGTGCGATGGCTCCACAACACGGAAACTGCTACCCTTAATATCTGCAATGCAGCTTCATCTCCTTCTCACTTTCTCTCTCTTCCGTTGAGATACTTGTATGCTATGCCATCTGATGCAACTGGTCCAGGTGGACAGAGGAGAAGGCAAAAGAAAGCAGGAAGCCTGGGAATGGGTAGATATGAGGGAGAAGACAAAGGGGTAGTGAACTTCGGAAAGGGGAAGGTGAGAGAGAAAGCTTTGTGAAGGAGGTGCCAGAAATACCCCTCAACTGACCCAATGACTCCATCATCTAGGAGGTTGAGCGGAAAAAAAACTCATCTTTCTCTTCTTCCATCCAAGGAAGGGTTGCTCTCCAATTCCCGATTTTTATGGGGCTCTTTGGTTTTTGTCCCGTTCAGATCCTACACAGAGCGAGACAGAGAGAGAGAAAACAGCGGAAGGAACCGACGCTTTCTCTCTCAATCACTATTTCTCGAGTATCTCCTCTACCATTTCTTCTCTCTCTCTCCTCTATCTTTTCTTGTCTATATCTTTGTGGCATCCTTGCAAGACGGTCCTTTATGCCATTCGGTCCTCTTCTTCTTCTTCTCTAGCCTTTTCTTCTGTTCCTCCGTTTCGCCTTTCTTTGGCTCTCTTCTGAATCTAGGAGAATGATGAAGAAGAAGATTAGGGTTTCCAAGGAGCCATCGTCGTTGTCGACTCCTTATTTCCCTGGTGGGGAAGAGGCGAGGGTGAGATTCAAGTACCACTGCCTCTTTCAGGATTATCAGGAGCTGCTAAAGGTGAGATCTTTTGTTTCTGTTGCTGATGGATTGATCTGATTTCTTCGTTTTATAGATCCAGAGTCTCTTCTCCTTGATGGGTTTTCTTCGGCTTGTTTACTCTCATGTTGATTTACTGGGTTCTATTACTGTTTTTTTCTTTTTAATAAGAAGGGTGTTAATTTATTTTCTCTCTGAATGATTTTGTTCTGCTTGATCGGATGTTTTAAATGAGAGATCTATCGTCCATCCTTTGATTCATAGGCTGCCTCAACGTCGTCTGAATTTATTCTACTTCTGTTCTTATCTCTCTTTGTAATTTTTTAAAAAACCTGCTACAAATCTTTCAGCTCTATTTGGCATATCAATTCAATATTTATGTGATTTTCGTTGAATAAGCGCAATTTTTATTTTACAGGAAACTCAACAAAAAAAGGAGAGATTGGAGAACATAGTGCAGAAGAAACTCCAGCTTTTGGCTGAAGTCAAGTAACGCTTTTTTTCATTACTGTTTGTTTTCAGCTTCTATATCAGTCAAAACATTATTGATATTTCAGCCTATATGAGTCTTATTTACAACTTCATATTGCAGATTCTTACGGCGAAAATGCCAGCAGTTCTCAACAGCTCAGAGTGCTCAATTCAAGCTAAAGAAACAATCTCTCAGTTTTCCTTCCCCTTCTGTTTGTATGGCTGAACTTAAGAATCCACTGTTTCAGACTGAGCTTCCCTTAAAGAGTAGGAACCAAAAAATGAAAGAAATTTTGATTCCAACTTCTACCACAATGCTAGATTTGAACCAAGTTTTCTTGCCAGTAAGTCCTCTGACACCCTTGTTTAAGTAAAACTCCTTGCACAACTGTCAAAACAGTTATCATATAATTGTGTTTCTTTGATTTTGTTATTCAGACCAGTGAAGAAATGGAAGGATTTGAGGCGGAACGAAAGCCTGAGAATGTGGACTGGTTTCAGCGGTATTCAACCAGAGGAGATGCATTAGTTAATGATTCCATGTCGTCGATCTGTCGTGATTCCGGGATCAATTTGAACAAAGCCTCTAAGAGAAAAGTTTCATGGCAAGATCAGCTGGCTTTGAAGGTTTGAGATTCATTGCTTGTTTCATTGGTGAGAAAGATCCATAACTATTCCATAATTTCTTCTCACATGAGTTTGTCATAATTGGAAAATATGTTGCCTTTGTTGAGGAAGAGAAAGGAACTTATTCTCTCCTTTTTTTTCTTTCGTTATACATGTAAGTTTATATAAATTATGAAAACTTGTAGTTTTTGGTTAAAGTAGGGCTTTTCTACAATTGTTTTAGTATTTGTTATATCGGCTATAATCTGATGTTGTTTTGTATTAGCAGTTGTTTTAGTGTTGATCTGTTTATGGTACAAATTAGGCTTATTTTTGAAACTATATAAGTATTTGGTGATGCCAGGAGTAAGTTTTGCAAGAAATTGGAAGATATGGGGAAGAAAGCACCGTGATTGTTAGTAATGCATTCATATTTATTAATGATTGCTATTTTTGTCAAAAAAAGAGGGAATTTGAGATGAAGAATCACTAATAAGATAAGTAGATAAAACTAATGTGTAATGATTATGATGAAAATTGGGTAGCAGCAAGTATTTTAATATTTAAGATTAACATATTATATAGCAATTATCTTGTAGAAATGATTGAAAAATTAAAACTCATAAAGAATACTCTGAATAGTTTTGGTAATGGCAAAAAATGTTGTTAATGATGATGGCTATTTTCTGCATTTTTTAAATTTTTTGTGTGCTTCTCTCATCTGTGATTCTTTTTCCATATATCGAAGTTGATTTACCAAACATTTGTTTGAATTAGATGTTTCATGATTTTTCTGGGGCATCAGTATGAAATTCTTTGAAACGTGTTTACCACTCAATCTTATGCATTCATGTATCTAAAACTTACATTTTCATATTTAGATGCATAGCACATCAAACACATCACTATTACTTTTAACATGTGAATTACACATTTTCGTGCATAATTTTATGAAACTAAAGCGGTATAAATGTAAATAAATGTAAATATGAATGTTTAGGTGTTGCATTGTATATATGAAAGTTTCTTTTAAAATTTCTATTTTCATTGTAAGTAGTTTTAGCCTTACCTTGGCTATTTGGTTCAGTTGTGAAACCCCTGTTGTAAAATGAAACTAAAATCTTAATCATCGAAGCTCCTTTTGGTGTAACAGTTAGAATTTCATCAAAAAAAAGTCAGACTTAGTGTGGTCATGTAGGAGCACTCCTAAGATGGGTGATCTCCTGGAAAAGTTACACCAATGAGACAAAATTATGAGGACATTAGGCCAAAACAGAAAATATATTGATGGAAGAATTCGGGCTGTTACATTAGCTCTATGAATTTTTATTCTTTTATTTGCTCTCGTCAAGTTTTGCATCAGATTAATCTTATTTGGCACATTTTGCTATAAGGACATTTACTTACACAAATGCCATCCAATTCTTAAGTATTCACATATGTAACACCTAAGCAAAATTTTTCTTATCACATCAAAAATATCAATATTCTAACTTTTAAAAGGTAAAATGCATCTTCTCATGCATTTATCAGGTGACATACATTTAAAAGTGAAATTTTAGGTTTTACATATGTAAATGAATAAAAATTAAGTGGTATATAAGCAAATCTTCCTAATTTTTATATTCATATTATTTATGTTTTTTTTTTTTTTTTTCTATTCATATATGTATCTCGACTATCCTTATTTATTTATTATTATTTTTTTATATGCAATAGATACTGTTTTAACCATCTCTCGAACATAATTTTTGGGTTGTCACAAATTCATTTTACGTTCTTTCAAATCTTATATGTTCAAACTTCAGTATTTGATATGATTCCATAAATATCATCAAATCTAGTATGAATTTCAACATGATTTTTCTATCTGAATTTATTCAAAATATGAACGCAAAAAATTTGAAAAATAATTTAGGGACTAGATGAACTCTAAATTTTGCGGACTCACAATCATTCATTTATAACGGTTATATTTTTTTGTGGTTCTTATTGGCCCTATGTGACTCTGGTTGATGAGTTGTTTGTAGAGTTAAATTACTCAAGGAATGCAGAGCATTTTGTCTAAAAATATTGATATAATTCTCATTTTCTTAAAACCCCAAAATTGGCTCCCACACCTTAAATTTGTTGCAGCTCCTGTAGAACATTGATTTTTTAGCCATTTGTTTCATTGTATTATATTCTCAAGGAGATGAGCAAGTTAATATCAAGATTGTGCCCTGTCGTTCTTATTTATAGGACCTAGTTTTCATCCATAAAGCTTTTCATAATTATTTAAGATTTTTTAGCTATCAAAAGTGTTTAATTTGTGATGTCAAGAGATTTGAATGGTATAACCATCTATTCATGGATTAGAGGTTTCACTGATGTAGGCCAGCATTGCAGTCACTAATATCAACAAAATAACAATTGCTAAACTACTTTCTGATTAGGTGATGGCGTGACCTATATTATGTTTATTGTTGATAAAAATATCCCTCAAATTTGTGAACAATTCCCTTTTTACTCATTTTAGACATTCTCAACTCCAAAATTGTAACTTCTAAAAGTTTATGAGGTTCTATTATTCTCCCCTCTTGAAAAACTCCCATCATTCATTGCCTTTCAGTATGCTAGGTTTCCCACTTTTTTAGGGAATCTTTCTTGACCAATTATTCTCATCATCTTCTGATACTAATTGATCATCTAATTTTGCCTTTATAAGAGAAAAAAAGTCTTTCAATCAACTTTTTGTCATCATGTCTTTTCAGTCAACAAGCTCCTCTATTTTTTAAAAAGGATGCTATTTTTTATTTTTTGCTAATATTAATACCAAATTTTCAATTTACATCAACATCAAAGCCAACATCTCCTTTCTTCTTTCATGTCATAGATGAGGGACTTCTCTCTTATGCCCGGTCTTTACATTGTACTGACCCTTTTTTCTAATTTTGGTGAAGGGTGATTAGTTTGTTGGGATATATTGTAAAACTGATAGTTGGAAATTGATTCGAGAGATCTGAAATAAATTGACGAGCACAAAACAAGAAATCATATAAAATACAAAGAATATTAAGATTTAACGTGGAAAAATCCATGAACAGGAAAAAATCACGGAATCACATAACACCTATAAATTCACTATAAAAAATAAGGAGAATCGTATAAATTATACCAAACGTAAGCCTTTCCACAGTTCAGAACACGGAATTCACTCCTCTCTTTCGTACAAGAGAAATCAAAACTCAACTCAACAAGCACACATCCAATCAGCTGAATCGAAACTTAAAACTAAGAACTGCACAAATACGATTACTTGCACCAGGGAGCCGTGATAGGGCATTGTGGCACTCCAACGGCGCTGGGGCGCTAACCTCCGGATGCTGCAATGTCGTACTTTCAGGTTTTTGAACGTGAGCTGGGATGCTTAAGTGACTATTGGAAATTTTCTAATCATGCAAGACTTCAGGGTCTTTCTTATTTGTGGGTTTCCTAAAGCTTTCTATAGTTTATTGTCATGGCAAATAAGCAGAGCACCTACAATACTAGGCATTTCTTTTTAACTCTTGTAACCATGAACAATGGAACACCAGAATTCCATATTGCCCAGGCTTTTGCTCTTTCTTTCTCTTGATAGGAAATTGGATTGAAGCAGTGATTATTGGCGTTGTTTAATGCCAACTCCTTTATGAGACCACTTCACTGCTCATTAGCACCTACGGTTGGCGTTCAATTTTTCTCATGTGTAATTCTGACTGTCAGCTATCATCTTTGTGTTTGTCACCCAGTATATAAATTCTCATTTCTGTCATTGTATATGGTGTGTTTAGCTGGCGGATCAGATTTACATTAATAGGATTTATCAAATTAGAGTTTCCGGCGTACTCATGAAGGGAGCGAAGGTCGCGAGCAACGGCACAGTGAATCCATTAAATTCGCCTCTTTGGGATTTACGAAATCCAGATTTGCAAAAACGTCTAACAATATTGATCAAAATTGATGAGGAAAATTTGCTATACAATTAAAACTAAAATGATTGGCATTTTGAGCTTTCTATATTTTCTCAAAGCATTCAATTTTATGCAACCAAAAAAAAAAATCAATCTCTTTCATTTTCTCCATGAAATCCATTTCTAAAACTTTTTTCGTAGATCGGATGAGCAGGGATATTTAGGAAGGCTGTCAAATCAAAACTAAAATTTGAATTTAACTTGGTCCTACACATTAAAGTATAGAATTATATTATAGAGTTTGTAAGGCAGAGGGAACTGCCCATTTATCGTCTCGTTGGCTAAAAGAGTATTTGTGTTATTATATGGAACCTGATTGTATTATTCAATTGTTCACTCAAAGCCATCAATTTTATAGATCATGCTTCACGATGGCTCCCCAACACCCAAAAGACAACATTATCGCACCTAGTACATGTTTAAAACCCAAGAGCACGACACTATTGTGGCATAACGCCCATTGAAGTGTCATAACGCCATTATCTCGACACCCCGACACTAGTAATCAAATTAATTTGCGTAGTTATTCGCTTAAAATTTTGGTTTTGCTGATTGGAAGCGTATGGATTTGATTTTCTCGTGTAAAGGAGGAGAGAAGCATCATGTAATTTCAAAAATTTAGATAGGCCTGAATGTGATTTATACAATGCTCCTTATTTTATTTTCTTCATAGTGGATTTCTTAGTGTGATGTGGCTCTGTGGTATTTTCCAAGTTAAACCTTGTGTTTTATGTGATTTTTTTTTTTGTTTTGTGATCTTAAATTCACAACACTTTCTTGAGAAAATTCTGACGCCGAAGATCCTCGCTAAGATTTTGATTCAATGAAATCAGTCCATGAAAGAAGCCTTGCACTAATAACTAATAAAATTTTGTAGAGAGGATTAAAATCAACCTTTTGGTCTGCTAAACAAATACATTGATTATTCTATTTATATATAACAAAAAAATCAATTCTAATATATCGGTTAACAATAATAAATCATGACATACAAAATAAAATTGAAACGAAATCTAACCACTCATATCCTAATACTAATAAAAAAAACCTTGATCAATCATTTCCTTCAGCGCCTGCAATGAGGGCTAATAATTATGACTAAAATTAGAATCTCTCTCTCTCTCTCTCTCTCTCTCTATATATATATTACTAATATTAGAAAAGTCGCTTGTAATTCCCCCATTTTTTTTAATTTTAGCCTTCGTTCTTATTTTAAAATGTAAGGCTAAAATTTAAATATCTGCCCATTACCTGAATTAAAAGTTTGAATCACTTCGGAAAAGGAGATGTTAAAAAATGATTGTGATTCTCCCATTATTAAATCTTAGCCTTCCATTTTATTAAAATGAAAGGCTAGGATTTAAATCTCAGCCTATGACTAAATTAAAAGTTTTGCATTACATCGGAAAAAATGTTCACTATCTATCGATATATATGTATATATATACATACATACATACATTTAAAAAAAAGGAAGTTGATCGCCGATCAACCTCATAGCCTGACCGAATGGCGGACTCCCCTTCTAGAATATATGCAATTCGATCCTACGCAAGGATCGAACCCCCGACCTGAGGGGCTTAAACCAAAAGCTACAAGCTGATTGCCCTCATTTGCTCGTAAATTTTAATTAATTAGAAGTATTATATGGAGTTTTCTCTCTTTTTGGCTTTGAACCACTTCTAATCCCTAGGATTTAAAGAAACCATCACACCTCATATTTATAAGTCTCTTCTCTTTGGCAATTTTAGCAGCTACTTGCATATCATTGCACGGAAAAACATCACTAGGCCGAAGCATTTTGGAGGTACGAGTCTTCCAAAACCTACACTTTAAATGTCATGTGCAGAGCTAAGCTCATTTGGAAACTTTATAACTCTGATAATGCTTTAAGAAAATGCTATTTTCTACACTCTGGTTCCATTTTTCATTCTATAAGAGGTGCGACTTATGTTTTATGGAAATATTTGACTAATTTCTCTAGAAGAATAAAAAATGGCATTTCCTTTAAGGTTACGTTAATAGCAACCTCTCATTCTTCTTTGATCTTTTGTTGGACGCGATTTCTCTATATGAAAAAATATGGAGGGGTTGTTCTTAATTGGTTTGATTGCTCTTTGAATTCTCTTCTGAAAAATTTCATTTGTAGGAATGCATGGGCCCTCACTCCCATCCACTCTATCCCTTCTGAATGCATCAATTCAATTATTAGGATTTTAATGTTCGATGTTCAGCTTTCTTGTTTTCTAATGGGAAAAAATAAATATGCTCATAAAATTGTTTACGATTTCCTATGTAAAGATATTCTTTTTTACATTTGAGTAAACAACTTTGGTATAAATGGCACTCGCTTATGTATGCAACCTTCTCTTGGAAAGCTCTTATTAAGGGCTTAATCATTATGAATATTTTGAATTTCTGAAAAATCATGGTATCTCTTCTTTGAATTTCCTTTTGCATTTAACATTATCCAAAAGGTCACCCTTACGAGCTCTTTCTTTTTTGTTGGCTGCAGTTTTCATTAATATCTTGTCATGCTGAGTTGATCACTTTTAAGGCTACTAGGCTTTGCTCTCTTCTTGTTGTTCAAGCAACAGCTCATCAGATTTGTCTTAAAAGAAATGCTGGAATATTTATGAAAGAATCTATTGTTGTTGATACAATCATCTTAAATATTAAAAATGCCATTAAATAAAAGAGTAGGAAATCAAAGTTCAAGAATGCTATTCCTAGCCACATTTCTTTACTATTTCTCTTGTAACTTGGGTGGGTTAATTCCTTTATGTTTCTATGGTGTTACTTTTGAAGAATTCTTTTCTTCTTCTCTTTATTTTTCTTTACAGGGTCTCCAAAACTAAGCTAATAAGACTTCTTATTCCTAAAGTTTATGATCCTTATACTTCATAAGGAGTTCTTTATTATATGCTATTTTTTGTGTATCTTAAGGCGCCTTGTATTTTGTTATTCTGCTTTTTTGGGAGACATTTATTTGGAAAGTTTGGAAGGTTTTTTTTATTTGGTAGATATATCATGACACCTTCATCATGGCTTAAAGTTTCAACTGGACAATTTTCTTGTTCTGGATGGAAGTTGATTCTTTTGATAGGCTGAGATTTTGAATGAGAATGATGATTATTCTGTTTTAGAAAGATTTATTGGATTTCAATTTATTTGAGCTAATATGGGAACTAAAGATTCTGAAGTTCAATATGATGGTATTTCGTGGTGGTTTGTACCTCTCCATATACAATTGTGGTTTTAGAAGTTTTTCCAGAAGAATTCTCCGAGAAATTGTTCTAACAAACAATTTATTTGTTTTCGACAGATTTCAATGCTTTCTCAATGTTCTTGGTTGTTTTGGAGAGCAACATATATCTAAGGCAATATTGCAAATAAATTGGTGCTCAATTAACATATTTCATTTCATTCTGGCAATCTTCCTTCACTTATGTGGTCAAAATTCATTTATTTTTGGGGCAGAGACTCCTTGTTCTTTACCATAAGGACCCTCATTTTGATCATTTAAGTAATAAATTAATAAATATATAATAAATGCTATGTAATAAAGTTCAGTTAGTGTAATAATTGCAAAAGGCAAGGCATCCCATCAGTTGGTAACAAATAAAAAAAAAAGTAAAAATCACAGTTAGTATCGGTTGATTTTGCACGTATTCCTTCTCGGAGATTCATAGTTTATGATGATAAATGTATAAACTTCAACCTGAAATAATAGTTATAGTTCCGGTTCATGTAGTTAGGTATGCATGGTTAGATTTTTAACTTTATTTCTTATTTAGTTATGATTATTTCAATCTTCACATGTTAAACATATAGATATTTCGTATGAAGAAAAATGTAGTACTGTCCACACTCATTTAGATCGGAGATCTATTAGATTTAACGTTTGGCATCATGTGAATCCAAGCTCTCTAATGTCCTTAATTCATAATCTCAAGCTTATTTTGGCATGTGTTATCATTACTTTTAGTTTTAATTAAATTTTATATATAATTTTATGCTTAGATTCTTAACTATATTTCTTAATTATGATTATTTTAATAATCACAATTTTCATATTTTTTATATCATTTATAAAAAAAACTATAAAATTTTTTTTAGAGAGAACAATCATTCTATTAATGATGATTTTAATCTCTGCTTTTCATCAGGAATTCAATCAAAAGGTACGATGCGATTTGACTTTAATTAATGAAACTTGATATAGTTTTAAGAGAACTTGTCAGTTCATACTACAAGAATAACTGTTAAATAGACAACGTACGTTTAATATTTATATACCAATGAATTTCTTTTTTTTGCAGTCTAATTTAAAGATGGCCATTAGACTTCAAAGTAGAACATTAATAACATTATGGAATGCTTAAATGTGTAACAAATTAATTAAAAATAAAGTGAAGAAATTCCATATGCCGGATTCTTATTCCTCCCCATGCCCGAAATAAAGAATCATTTGAGTCATTTTTTTTTGGAGCTTTATGTTTTTTACAAAAATGAGAACATTAGTTTTTATCGACTAAATTTGCTCAAACGTATAGCAATAATAAAATCATTGTCATTATTTAAAAAAAATAATTTAGCATACACACAGAAAGTTCTAAATAATAAAAAAAATCAAAACAATTCAGAAGCTACTTTATAAAATAGTTGCTACCATTCTAAACAGACCAAAAAAGCATAGTTTTTATGTGATCAGAGTTTACCTGGAAGCTCTACCGCGATCACAACGTCTTTGCATTGCCCTAAAATTTTCAGCCGAGCTCAGGCAGGAGCAGGAAAGTTGCTTTTTAATGGTGGCCAGACCTATCAGGAACAAATCCAAGTTCAAAATACTGTAGCTTTTCTCCTGAATCCAGAATCTCGAACTTTGATAATAGACTTCTGTTAAGAACCCATGATATGACCACCGAGAGCATCATATGTACCATAACAGGCAAAAGTGAGCCCAACAAGAAGTATAATATAATCTGCTGCTCTCTGCCAGAGCTTCAGATTGGATCCCATGAGCAACAGATGGAATGTGGCTGGCAATACAAAAGCAAGCATGGCACTAACAGTGCTGCCCACAAGAGAGATAAAAACCCCAAAACCAGGAATGCAGGAGGCGACGATGGTGACTATCAGTAGCACAAGCATGCGAGCTCCGTGGAGGCCAAGCCATTCGCCGCGGGCATTGCGGCGGAGCTTCTGAAACCATCCGCATGACATCAGCTTCATCTCTGTGATGTCATAAATTGGGTGCATGATGATTGGAAATGTGAATGCTAGAGCTATACAGAGTCCAATCTGTTATAGAGTAGATTGAATAAATTGAGTTTGAAAGGTTGAGACAGATTTGTTGTGAAAAAAAGAGTGCAAAAGCAGTATTTGTTTAAGAGGCCAAATGATGCAGATCTAACCAATCATCTAAATTAGTGATATCCATCCCTTAGAGGGAGAGAGAGGAGAGAGATAAAATACTATCCATATAGAAAAGAGTCATTTAACCCACCAATCATTAATCATCTATCATATTTTAAATGTCAATAATTTAAATTGGCTAAAAGCTAAAAAATAACAACTTTTCATTCTATACTTACTTTCAATTTGTCATTCAAAATTTGTGATGAATTGCAGAAGATGAAACTATAGTGATAGTTTTATACATAATACTATATTAGAAAGATAGAGCCCATTTTTCTTCCATTCCTTTCACTATCTATCATAAATTTTAAATTATTAGGACTTCAAGTGCCAAAAAAGATAGCTCTCATCTACTTTTAAGTCCTAGCTATTTAAAATTTATGACAGGTTGAAAATATGAAAGGAGAATAGGTGTTATACAAAAAAAATAGAATAGAAAAAACAAAAATATCATTCCAAGCCTAATGCTAGTAAAATAAAAAGCTTCTTCTAGAAGTTCACAGTCAACACTGGTATCACAAAATAAAGAATCATATCCAAACAACACCCAAGCATAGAAAGGAAAGAAAATACTCAATAGTGAATTATTATTGGAACAGACTTTTAAATGCTTAGAGCCCATCTTTATAATCATAAAGGCTTTCAATTTTACAATCAAAATCAACAAATATTTGCATCCCATCAAAAGAATGCAATAAGGGCTGAACAAAAAAACTGTATGAAATTCATGCCTCAGCTGCGCCATTGAATTCACAAGGCTGGCAAGGAAGTGCAAATAAAGAAGGGGCTGAAAACAATGACAAACAAAGATATCTCATGCTAGAACCTTTGGCAACAAATAATTTACTAACAACTAAGTTGAGTATGATAGGGGAAAATATATATATATATATATATATATAAAGTGGATGTTAAGTTTGAACCAGAAAGAAACGAGTGAAAAATAAATATAATAGATTGATAGTTCAAATAGCACCACATAAAGATAAATGGGATAAAATGAACCCATATGCTTTAAAGACATATACTACAACTTGAAAGGTGACAAATGATTCTACCAATCTGCGATCCTAGCCTTTCAATCATAAAAAAATAATATCATCCGTTAATTAACAGTCATCAATTTTAAATCTTTATTTTTGACTTCTGGCTAGCAAAACCTTAAATAAACATTTTAATGTTTTAGCAACACTGCACTTAAAAGCACTTGAGGTGTGTTTAATCAATTTAGAACATTTTATCTTGGAACAATGCTTCATGTTTAACTACTAAGCACTATTTCCAATACACAATATCTTCATCTATTGCTTTTAAATGCTTTTTGATATATTGGTTTAACTTAAGTAACACCATTTATAGATATAAATAAATGTTTAACATATTGGAAGTGTAACTAAGCAATGCATTAGAGTTCAGATAATTTAACTTCTTAAATTTATTTTGAAAAAAATTACGAAGGTTAATTTGAACATCATTGGTTGCGACAACTGGAATTGTATGTTTGTATACCAGAAGTATGTTGGTGGCACAAATATGTTAGAAATTTCATTCTTTAAAATAATAAAATTATAGCTCAATATAAAATTTAGTTTTGTTGATAAAATTTATTATTTTAATTCTCTAGCCAAGGTGATATCTTGTACAAATTTAAGACAATTTTACCTCCTTTTGGCATGAAGAGTTGAATTTAATTGTAGTTAGTTAAACAATACTGTTGAGAAATTAGGGCGAAGAAAAATTGGGAATCGACACAAATCCAGAAGAACACATAGAAATTTAACGAGGTTCGGCAAAGATGCCTACATCCTCGGGAGCAGAGCGGCGACTTCCTTTTCAATATTCATAAAAGAATACAGAAAACAAGATTCAGCTCTCTCCAAGACCTAGGATTACAAACAGGTTTATTTATAATCCTAGAGTAAATCCTACAGTACAATATATAATACAGTACAATCCTAGAGTAAATCCTACAGTACAATATATAATTTCCAAATTACCTTTGTACTATATGGCGGGGCGTTGACCCTGCACCCCCAACCCACATAACGTAACTTTCCGATTTGGACAGATTCTTTCGCTTCGCTCTGCTCCGCTTCGTTCCAGCGTCTGTCCCTATATGCTATATGAGTCATACCATAACAAATCTCCACCATGGCGAAATCTCCACCATGGAGAAGAAAAGATACCTAAGAGATCCAGCCCCTAAGAGGAAAAGATCCCTAAGAGTTACACCTGCACCAACGTGGGTTGGGCCACCATACTTCTGTTGCGCCCACGCAGATCTCAACCCACTAAATTCCAAGAGACACACCTCTTCAATTCCAAGAGACATCTCTTCATTCCAAGAGACTCCAAATTCTAGTATTATGAGTCATACCTAACAATTCTCCACCTTGGTGAATATCCAGCCCTTTAGGAGAAAATCTTCACCTTACGAATATCCAATCCCTTAGGAGAAAAATCTTCACCTTGTGAATATCCTGCCCTTTAGGAGAAAATCTCCACCTTGCGAATATCAAGCCCCTTAGGAGAAATATGCACAAATGTAGGTTGAAGCACTTTTCCTGTTCGCGCCAGCACCTCGGCTAAACTACTGTCTCATGAGTGAAACCCTTCGCGAAATACCTCAGCGCAATCGAAACCACAATTCGCAAATAATCGCGTCTGCTCGCTCGTCAGCACCCTACCGAACTCCACCTATCGAAAACTCCACTTATCACAACTCCTCCTGCGAAGAACTTGCAAACTCCGTTGGTCGAACACCACCAAACTCCTTTGTTCGCAAATGCTCCTGTTTGCGATAACTGCACACGAACTCCTGTTCGCTAACTCCACCTCGCATAATGTCGCGAAGGTTCATGAATTGTCGTGTCTCGAGGTCGCGACGCCACCTCTACCGCGGACTCCCCGAAACATAACTCGTTGAACTGCCGCAACCCTTTATCTGAACTGCTTTGCACCTGTTCGTTCCCGAGAGCCCGTCTGCCTTACGAACAATCCGTAAAATTTTATATTCTCTTGCGCCATAGCCAAGATTCCCTTCCTCTAGCCAAGAAAATTCAGAAAAACCTTCCAAATTTTCTTCTCCACAAGATTTCTTGTTGAGCTAGAAATTTTACTCACTTTGATCCTGCCAGAAATCTCCGCAGATCCAACAGAGAAAATCCACCAAAAGAAAATATTTCGCGGCTCCAATAAAGGAAAAAAATCACATTCCAATTACTCCGCTCCTCTTTCCTTCCAAAATTTCCTCTGAACTTTCCTTTTCGACGTCCTGGAATAGCTCCGCTGCACCGCAAAATTTGAAGAATCTTCCAAATTTACTTCTCCGCAATTTTCTCCAGCAAAGAAAATTTTAATTAAGTTTCCTTAATTAATATTTTCTTTAAATTAACTTAATTAAAAATAAATTTTCCTTTAATTAAGTCGAATTCAAAAACTTTCCTTCAAGGAAATTTGGTTTTGCAGCAAGAGAAAATTCCAATTTCGGCTTCCTGCAGCAAATGGAAATTTAGGGGAATATTCTCCTAGTAGAAATCAAGGATAAAGGCAAAGGATATCTCCAGCAAAGGTGAAGGATATTCACCTTGATTCTCTTGTGCAGTGTCAAAACCTCCGGGAACTTCCTTGTTCGCGCGCCGTAACCTCCGGGAACTTCCTTGTTCGCTCGCCGAAGCTTCCACTGTGAACAGCCTTCCTCGGGAACAGATCGCAGCCTCCACGAACTGCCGAACACCAATCATCGTCCGCTAATCCCGGGTCGCGATCCTCCTGCAAATCACCCGAACCTTCTGCCTCAAGCCCCGCGATCTGCAACTTGTGCGCCGAACACCGCGAACTCCGAAGCCTTCACCGAATCTCCTCTGCGAAAATCGCCAAACTTGCCCTTTCGCGACTACTCCTGCCGCCGCGATTCGCCTCCCCGAGGCTTGCTCTTCCTATTGCTCTTCCTACGTCGAACCGCGTCGAACCGCTGAGATCCTTGCGCCGAGATTATTCTTCTGCCCTAGCCGAAAAATCCTCGGCCAAAATCTTCGCGTCCAAAAAATTTTTTTTGTGCCCTCGAACCTCTCTCTGATACCACTTGTTGAGAAATTAGGGCGAATAAAAATAAGGAATCGACATAAATCCAGAAGAACACACAGAGATTTAACGAGGTTCGACAAAAATGTCTACATCCTCGGGAGCAGAGCGGCGATTTCCTTTTTAATATTCAGAAAAGAATACAGAATACAAGATTCAGCTCTCTCCAAGTCCTAGGATTACAAACAGGTCTATTTATAATCCTAGAGTAAACCTTACAGTACAACATGTAATTTTCAAATTACCCCTGTACCGTATAGCGGGGCGTTGACCCAGCACCCCCAACCCACATAACGTAACTTCCCGATTTTGACAGATTCTTTCGCTCCGCTCCTCGCTCCGCTCCGCTTCGTTCCAGGCTCCGCTCCGCTTCGTTCCAGCGTCTATTCCTATATGATATATGAGTCATACCATAACAAATACATATTTCATTCAAATCTATTATTGATGTATTTTATGTAAAACAAACTTATTTTATAACGGTTTGAGATGTTAGACACGTATGTCTAACTTGTTTGATCCATTAAATATGTAGCTATATTTGAAATGATCAAAATTTTTATTTTTAAAATTTGCTAAATATTACAAGTAATTTGAGATAAAGTTCTAAACCCAACATTTCTCTTTCATGTCTCATCATCTTATTCTAATTAGTTGTGTTTACAATAAATCTTATCATACAGAAATGTATAGAAGTCAAAGATAATAGAGGTCTATATGTTTATTAAGTCTTCATAAATTTTCTTTTAACATTGAAGGAACAAAAATTTTCTTTTAACATTGAAGACTTAATACAAATGATACCTCTTGAAGAAAGAATTTTTATTGGAGGAGATTTAAATGGACATGTCGGTAGAGTGGTAGAAGATTTCAGAAATATTCATGGTGGCTACGGTTTTGGAGTAACTAATGAAGAAGGTAAAGTTATTTTAGATTTTGCTTTAGCGTTTGATTTTGTTATTACTAATACTTTATTCAAGAAAAGGGATGAACATCTTATTACTTATAAGAGTGGATCTAATAAAACACAAATTGATTATTTTCTTATGAGAAGAAGAGATCGTCGTGATTGTAATGATTGTAAAGTCATTCCAAGTGAAAATTTAAATACCCAACATCGTTTATTAGTTTTAGATTTTAAGATTAAGAGTTGTAAAATAAAAAATACTATGACTCATCTTTGCAGAATTAGATGGAGAAACTTAAAAGATACAAATAAAATTAATTTTATGAGTAAAATTCAAGATTTCAAAATTTGGGATATTCATGAAAAAGCAAATGTGATGTGGGATAAAGTAACAAACGCTATTAAACATGTAGCAAAAGATGTTCTTGGAGAATCAAAGGGAAAAATATTTACAAATAAAAATAGTTGGTGGTGGAATAATAATGTGCAAGAAAAGATAAAATATAAGAAGTTATGTTATAAAAATTGGTTTAAATGTAAAAGCTTAGAGAACTGGAGAAAATATCAAACGATTCGCAGGGAGTCTAATAGAACAATTTGTGACGCTAAAAATT